TTCGCTGTGCTTTGGGGAGCTTGGGGTGTCCATCTTGGGACAGTGGTAAATGACTGCCCCCCCTGTCCCCAGCTACATCTTCCGGCTGAGCTGCACGCGGCTGGGCCAGTGGGCCATCGGATACGTGACGGCCGACGGCAACATCCTGCAGACCATCCCTCACAACAAGCCGCTGTTCCAGGCCCTCATCGACGGCTTCCGGGAAGGCTTGTAAGTCCTGACACGCCCGATTCCCATCTGCCTTCCCTCTCGGCCTCTCGAGTCCCCTCTCCAGCGCTGCGCTTACAGCTGTAATTGCGTAGAGGGCTAACGCCATTCCTGTTGCCTCACAGTGGGGAAAAAAAGGAACAGAAAGCTTGTAGTGGACTTGTTTTTCTTGCAGCATTTGTGTCATCGGGTTGCTTATTACATGATGTTTGAGAGCTGATTGCTCAAGAAGTGTGTGATTGAGTGCTGCAGGATCTCGTGCTAGTAATGGGCTGTGTACAGCCGAGGGCACTGGAGTTTGACCGCGTTCCCAGGTGATGCCTTTCTTCTCTCTCCACTCCGGTAGTTACCTGTTCCCCGACGGACGCACTCAGAACCCAGATCTCACGGGGCTGTGCGAGCCCTCCCCCCAGGACCATATCAAGGTCACGCAGGTTGGTGGTTTCATGGCTTTTAATTTCAGTGCTGGAATGCTCACTGCCCCTCCCGGTGGCGAATGGTGTCCCCTCTCCTTCCAGTCGCCCTGTCCTCGAGGGGTGAAACATCATCTCGGATGGTCCAAAATGATCTCGCCACGCCGTCACGCTAACTTCCCAACAAGCACTGTGGCTGGATGACGCTCCCTCCTCCCTCATTTTAGATCTCGAAGTAGTACTGGTCATTTCCCATAACCGTACGCATTAACAAGCTGTTTACAGAAATGAAATCGGATTCACGCATTTTATGTCTTCTTTCTGGTTGTCTCCCCCCCCCCCCCTTCTGCTTTGTAAAAATCTTTTTTTTTTCGGGGAGACCTGATGAAAAGCACAGAGTCGCATGACGCGACGTGTTTGAACGGGCTGTCTCCGAGCACTCCAGGCTCCCTTCTTCATTCCGAAGAAGCAAAATGTACTTGGAAGACGGAGAGACAGCAGGAGGTGGGGGGGTCCGTTTGCAGGTGTGCTCAGTTCTCTGTCCTCCCCCAGGAACAATACGAGCTGTACTGCGAGATGGGCTCCACGTTCCAGCTGTGCAAGATCTGCGCGGAGAACGACAAGGATGTGAAGATCGAGCCCTGCGGCCACCTCATGTGCACGTCGTGCCTCACCTCCTGGCAGGTGAGGAGCCCCGCTGCACCCCGAGACTGTCAGTGACGAGTCTGGGACCCTTCTCATCCTTTGTCTAATGAATTCCAACAACTCCCCTCAACGCAGATACAGATTATTACATCTCAGTAACAGATTAAATTCATTGTGGTTAAAGAAAAAATTTTAATTTTTTTAATTAAGCCGTAGGCTTTGTGAAACTGCTGTAAGTCGCCATGTTTTCACAAACCCCTGGACAAGTGCGAGAGTTCCCACGAATTGCGACACGATTCAGCCCTTCCTGCTCACTAGTCACTGTAAGGAGTAATGTAATGAGACGTACTACAAGCAAATAACAGGTTGTGCGGCTGACATTTCACCACAGAAATGTTCCAACGTGATCTGCATGCAGAGTTAAGTAGCATTTGTCGGCGAAACCATCTTGAAGTTGAGAACAATATTTCTGTTGGATTAAAGGAGATGTATTCATAAGCCTGCTTGTTTACAATGTAATAAGGCCGCATCACCTCACCGGAATCTCAGGCTTTGGTGCTGCGCGTACCTGGAAATTTCGTCTATCTTGTGGTGGAAATTGGAGGTTTTACAAGTTCCTGCATCGATTTTACTTTCACTGTGGTTTGAAATGCACCTGTCAATGCCGATACTTTCAAACCCCGCGATATAAAAGTAGCGTTCCCCTTTAAAAGCAAAGTGGTTCAAGTTCTCATATACACCTGCTGCCATAACCTTGCTCAACAGTTGATATTGTTGCTCGTGTGGCTGTGCATTGCTTGTTTGTGCGTGTTCTTTATAGTGTCTGCTGCTATAAAACAAATAAAGACACCCATTCTCTCCAATTTCTCCTGTGGGGGCTCATTGGATATTGCCCCTGTGGAGTTGTATGGCAGCTGCAGGGCACAGCAGACCTGAATTCAGGGGGAAAAAGCTCCATGAGTTCCTCTGTACTTTCCTGTCAGTGGCGCCAGCGAATGAAAAGACTAGCTCGGGGGAAGGAGATGATTGCAGTGTGGAAGATGATCATTAACTGATCCGTCTTTGGTGGCTGGGGCAAATGTGAGCTGTGTGCAAAATAAATAGCTTAATTTGGTTTCAGTAAACAGTGCTTTTCATTTAGGCTGGGCAGCTGTTTTGGTATAATGCTTACATACAACTCGGGTTTGAGCATTTTTATACCTCTTTAGGCCATTGACCTTAATAATCAAGCTGCACATTTGAGTGGAATATATGAATAAATGAGCCAGACAATTAGTTTTCGTGACGCAGGCCACAGAAAGTGGAGTAAAAATGAGAAAGTAGTGTGGTTTGAGCCCGTGGGGGAAGGAGCCGTTGTTGTACCGCTGCAAGCAAGGCCTGCTGGGAGGTGGGCTCGGCGGCGGCGCCTAGTGGTGAGCAGGAGAGGGGCTGGGCGCCTGACCTCTCTCCCCAATCTCTGTCCCTGCGCCGCAGGAGTCCGAGGGCCAGGGCTGCCCGTTCTGCCGCTGCGAGATCAAGGGCACGGAGCCCATCGTGGTCGACCCCTTTGACCCCAAGGACAACAGCGGGGGCTCCTACGGGGGCGGCCGGGGGATGTTCGGGGCCGAGGGCGCCCCCTCCCCCAGCTACGATGACGACGATGACGACAGGCTGGAGGACCCTCTGATGATGAGCAACCTAACCAAGGTGAGACCCTCCCCCCTCCCCCCTGCTGGGGCATCAGGGGTGGGCAGCTCTTGGCATTTATGGGGCCTCTTGAGCAGGTGGATCAGGGGCGATTTCGGTTTCTAAAACTTCCTTGTTGACAGTTTCCTGAGCCAGTAGTTCCAGCCCTGGTCCTGGAGGAAACCAGTCTGCTGGGCTCCTTCCAGCTGAGCCCTCGGTCTCTGTCTGCAGTGCTGGCTGGCGACTTACTTGATCTGCTTGTGTGTTTTTTTAAAGTTGTTTCTTCTTTCAGTCTTTCATGTCAAAAACACGCAACTTCAAGGGTCCCGTTTCCAATTTCCTTATTTAGGGTTTTAGTTTAGATTCATCGATTGTAGACAGTTTTATTTATTTTATTGAAGAAATGGATAAAATGATAAATAAAACAGTTGAATGGTTTTTGTTGTTTTATAAAATGACTCCATTACTTTGTATTTAATGTATTTTTTTCTCACATTAGCTGATTTTGTTTTAGGGTTTTATTGATTGTGAGATTTAATGTGGTATGAACATAGGGTATTGATGAGACAGAGACTCAATATATTTATTAAGTAGGGCTGAGATGCTGAAAGAACAGTCAAACAAAGACCTAAGTGTTGTTTTTATCTCTGTGCACAACACAGCACGAGCAGCGTACATTGTCTTGAGCACTCTGTCAACTTACCTGTTGCCAGTTTTGTCCTAAATTGAGAAATGGTCTGTATTACTGAGGTGTGTTAAATCAGAAACATGCAAATTAAAAGTGGAGAACTACTTGTAATTTTTTAAAATATGTAACTATCACAATTATACATACAGTACTTGACTTTTTTGCCGTTTCACCTTCCATTGACTTCAACTCATTCACTGTAGACAATATTGCATCTTAATCTTTCACATCTTGAAGCATTTCACTGGTTTTGAAAGGCAGACATCTTATAGTGTACCCTGGGGACCTTGACAGGTTTTAAAGGGCAGGCATCTTCTTGGGCACCCCGGGGACCTTGAAAGGTTTTAAAGGGCAGGCATCTTCTCTGGCACCCCGGGGACCTTCACAGGTTTTAACAGGAAGGCATCTTCTCTGACACCCCGGGGACCACGTGGGCCTCCTTAACTCGTGTGGTGTGTTGCAGGTGGAGCGGCCCCCTTCGCCCATGTCCATGGGCCCCCAGGCTTCCCTGCCTCCTGTCCCCCCTCGCTTGGACCTGCTCCAGCACCGGCCGGCCAACTCCCCCGGGGCCTCCAGCCCAGGAGCTACTTCCAAGGCAAGCCCCAGCCTCGCGCCTCGCGCCTCGCGCCTCGCGCAGCCAGCAAGACGCCTTTTCATGGCAGAGGCACCATCGAGGGCTCTTCGCAACTGTACATTACAGACACGTACTGCGCAACAGAGACCTACACCAAATAAGATCAACTTAAAATACCTCAAAAATGTTAATACTGTCTGGCGTTTTCTAGTTCTCTGAGACATGAAGCCCGCAGGTCAGTCGAAGATCACCCCAGCGGTGATTTTTCTGCTTTTCGATCTATTAACACGCATTGTGTTTTAGTTTTACAGATTAAATTATCTGTTTGCATTGCGCTTGTTGATAGGTGACGATAATCCAGCTGTCAAAAGGGTTGCCCAAATTGCACGCTGCTCTGTGCGTCCTCTCTGCCCGCTGGCTGGGAAGGCGGCCGGCGGTGCGTGTTTTCGCCGACTCACGTCCTCGCCTTTCTCTCCCTCTCTCTGTCCCGGCCCAGGCCTCCTCTCACCACAAGGACAAGCCCCTGCCGCTGCCGCCCTCCCTGCGGGACCTGCCCCCACCTCCTCCACCCGATCGCCCCCACTCCGCCGGGCCGGAGGGGCGCCTGCAGAGGCGGCCCCTTCCCAGCACCCCCGGGGAGCCTCCCCGCGACAAGCTGCCCCCGGCGCCCCCAAACCGAGGGCAGGCCGACTGGCAGTCCCGCCCCGTCCCCAAGGCCCCTACGCAGGCTGCGGGGGACCCCTGGGTGGGCAGAGAGCTGTCCAACCGACACTCCCTCCCCCTGGCGCTCCCCTCCACCCTGGATGGGCGGCCCGAGGCGCAGAGGCACAACAGCACCATGAGCCTGGACCACCAGCTGGTGAGCGCACATGTTAGCACAGGTTTCCCAGAATTCCCGACCTGCCTCCAGTCTGCGTTTCCAGGTAAAAGGTGCATGACGCTGTATTGACAAGAGTCCAAACATCCGGAGGCCTGCAGGAAAACGGATCCTGCGTCCTGCCATCCGTATGGAAAAGGCCGATGGCGTTTCATAAATAATGCGCGTTTTCATCCATGCAGCCGTGAGCGGGTTTAGGTTCTTGCTTTCCCACGGTGGAATGAAATCTGAAGAGAGAAAGCCGTTTCGCTTCCATGTTTTGGGTGGAGGGGGTGTGTTGGCAGGCAGTAAGGCGGGAAAGCTGCTCGAGGAACTTGCAATCCTTGGTAAAGAAAAAAATAATAAATTACGGAATAATAAAGCCTGTGGTTTTTCCAGAATTTTGGCGCCAGTGCCTCCGGAAGTCAGGAGTACGATAATCCCAAGGTGAAGTCTTCGGCCTCCACTGGTGCCATCTATGCCCTGGCTGCCAGGTATGAGCGTCGCGCCACCTTGCCAAGTTTCTGAGTGTGTGACCCTTCTGTGTGATCTCCCTATACCCACTGTTGTGTAGTACGGGCTTGGATTGAAAGCTCCAGCTTTCTGGCATTAACAATCCTTATAATTATAATTATAACATGATATAGGCCGTTCTACCGAATTGCGTTTCAAGGAAAACCTGACCCTTTGGTTCACTCCGTCCCCAAGCTATGACTGTTGTCTCTGTCCCGGCCGGCGCCCAGCCAGGATCCGAGGGCTGTACGCGCAGGCGGTCAGCGCTGTGCTCTTCTGTCTGTCTGCAGGCCTCTTGGTCCAAAGGCCGTGACGCAAGAGGAGCCCCCCGAAAGTGAGGAAGAGCCCGAGTACATGACCCCCTCATCCCGGCCTCTCCTGCCACCCCTCAACCCGGGCGCCCCTGAAACCATCCCCAGACCCCCGCAGACAAACTCCTTCAGCTCACGGTAAGCGCTTTTCGAAAAGAAGCTTCACTGACTCAAATCTGTGTACCCCCCTTCTCATCTCAGTATTGATTAGTTTTAATTAAAATGTCTCAGTGGACTGTTAAGCAGCTGTCCATGAGCCATTGAAATGAACCACTCTTAAACAAAGCGCAGTGAATTAAATCAGCCTAGCTCTTCATCTGTCAGTCTATGATGTAGGATTTCTCACACCATCTTTACAGCAAACACAGCCTGTTTTGCACTTTTTTTAAATCATCCAATGCCTGCAGTATTTAGAACAGTTTCCGCATGTTAATTTGGACTATTTTTTTTTGTCATCTCTTTTGATCAGTAATTCAGTTTAAATGGTTGAAATTCTCTCCTGTCTGATAGCGTTTTGAGAATGAAAGTCTGTGTGAGCCTTTTGGCTCGTCATTAAGGCTGCGTCAATGGCAAGTCCTGACAAGAGTGGTCCACCTGCGCTGTGTGGGGGTGACCCACTTGACGCAGTGCCCCGTCTGCGTGTTGTCTCGGCAGGGTGATGGTGACCGACCTGGAAGGCGAAGTCCCTCAGATGTACGAAGCCATGTACAACATCCAGTCCCAGGCGCTGTCGGCCATCAGCCAGCCGGCTCTAGCGAGGGACTCAGGTAGGACAATCTTCAGCCTTGGAGTTTGTACCCCAGCGTACAATTCGGCGTCGCCCCGTTTCAAAACCGAGAGATGTATCTTTTTAACTCTGTATCCGACTTAGAAACTTTACAAGTTTATTGAACGTGCACTTGGTGATACTGGGCCTGTTTTTGAGCCAGTCTTAACAGCCACAGCCTCTGCAAGGTGTCCCCGAAAATGCACGCACAACTGTGCTTTCCCTTGGCTTAGAGAGCAGGAGGAATATTAGCGCTCGGTGTTAAGTGTTCCAGAATCACATACTGTACACACGGTGAAACATTTCTCCTCTTTGCAGCTTCGTAGGAAGATGTGGAATAGATTAGGCAGAAACTTTTGCAGCTGAAGTGTAGGCGTCAGACCTCGGTGAGGAGCTGGGAAAGCTCGGGGCTTTATAGAGAAAGACCCCCCCGAGAGCAGTGTTCTGACAGCATCTGAAATCCAGCGGCAGCCGGATTTTAAACAGTGTTATTTGTAAGCAGAAAGCACAGATAAGAAGCAGGACCACATGAAGTCATTGATATTGGGCTGTCAGAATGTAAGCTTCTCTAATGTCCTGGGTTTCTAATTATTCCGTTGGTGAAGCAACAGGGTATTTCACTTCTCTCTTAATATTCTCTGGCCAAAATATTAGGAATATGAGTTGAACTCCTTGCCTTCCTTCCCTGGCTAAAAAAATCCTCCAGATCTCCACTCTGTTGAAAGATGGAAAATGCAGTTCTAGTCCCACACACACACACACACACACCAGGATTAAGAATCAGATGGGATTTGTGGTGCAAATATCCCCTGACCTTGTGGAATAGAGGCTGCCTTCCTGCTCGAGCCGCTGCTGCTGCCCAGCATGTTATTTGGTGGGGCGGTTCCTAATATTTTGGCCGGCGGGCACGTTGGGGGCGGGGGATTGAGCTGTGACGGTGCTGTCGTGTGGCCCTGCCCCCAGATTACTCCGAGCTCCCGCCCGCCGGCAGCTGCAACGGCCCCGGGGCGCCGGGGAGCGACGAGGACGACGACGCCGGGTACGACTTCCCCAAGCCCCCGCTGCCCATCGCGCCCGCCCGCCGCACCCTCTCGGACATCTCCAGCTCCTCGTCCGCCTTCAGCCGGCTCTCCGTGGACGGCGAGGGGGCGGCGCCCAGCGCCTGTAAGCCCCGCCCCTCTGCGCCGGTCGCCAGGTTTCGCACGGTCTCCTGCGTTCGCGTGAACTCCCTTTGAAGCTTTATAACTTCGTAACTGTTTTTCTTTTCGCCTTTTTGAGAAACTTTGTCAACTTAGTGTGACAGGAGATGCTTTCTGGACATGGTTTGTCAGGCTGCCGAGTTTGTCTTTTAGCCTGTGATTTTTTATGTGGTATAAAAACCATGCGCAACCATATTTTGTCATGTAATGTACTTTTATCTACATTTTACCAACGTTGAGAGGCTTTATAAACAGCAACTACAAGACATACAATACAATTGAGTAGAAATGGACTAGATTCACAAGTCTGCTTCTTAGTGCCTCATAATACTGCTGTACAGTATGTGCATTACTGGATGGCTCTGGTACTGTATGTGTAACAGTGGATGAGCCCTGAAATGTGCTGCAGCACTTTCAATAATAATCATAATAATAATAATTCCTTACACTTATATAGCGCTTTTCTGGACACTCCACTCAAAGTGCTTTACAGGTAGTAGGGACTCTCCTCCTCCACCACCAGTGTGCAGCCCCACCTGGATGATGCAACGGCAGCCATAGTGCACCAGTACTCTCACCACACACCAGCTATCAGTGGGGAGGAGAGCAGAGTGATGACGCCAGTTCATAGATGTACTTTTATGCAAAAATAATTCATTTCTTGAAGCCTTTTATCATATTCCAGCGGGTTTGAAGCACGTTTCCGATCAGAAGCTGACTTTCTGTGTGTGGTGTTGTCGGTGCAATAGCTTTTTGTTTTTGTCAAACGTAAACCGTGTCCATTTCATCCAGAGATCTCTTGTTTCTTCTTGACAGCTTTCGGCGACCTGAGTCAGGCCCCAGAGAGGCCCCCCAAGCCGCTGCCCCGGCGCATCAACTCCGAGAGGAGGCCCAGCCCCGTGCCCCCAGGGGCGGGGGGAGGAGGTCCGAACCCCCAGATCAACAGCGAGATCGAACATCTCATGAGCCAAGGCTACTCCTATCAGGACATTCAGAAAGCCCTGCTGATTGCACAGAACAATATCGAAATGGCCAAGAATATCCTGAGAGAGTTTGTCTCCATTCCTTCCACGGCGCACATCCTCACATAGCGTCGGATGTGTGCCCGCCCCCCCTCCCACACTCCTTCCCCGCCCCACTTCCTGCAAACCACGCCCCCTGGCGGCCCTGCCCGGCAACCTGACCCCGCCCCTTGGTGCTGATTGGCCGGCATAAAAGAGGGGCGTGCCTTCACGTGCAATCTCTCCGCCTCATTTTCTGAACCGCGGGCGGGGGACCCTGGCCCAGAGAGCTCACGGGACGGCTTGTCACGTGCGTCGCTCGGAGCACAACCAACCAACAGCAGGACAGACAAACGGGCCGCTTCACCCCTCTGACCCAATGCCTCCTCACCAGGGCCCGGAAAGGAGTTGGAAAAGCATCCCAAAGGAAAGCCACGTTGCTCTGGCGGTGTTGTGTACCCGCAGCAGTGGCTCAGAAAAATAGGAACGCTGAAAAAACTCAAATAAAGCCACAGTGTTTTCCAGTTACCAGTGGAGATCGGTGACAAAAGACAGTCCACAGGATGTCATGCCGACCTCGACTTCCTGTTTTTTTTTTCCATCTGGGACGTTTTCGCCAACAGGACTGTTCTGCATTCCAGCTTGCTTCTGTGAATGCACCGATCCCGCTTCTTGATTTGAAGGTGGAGGGGGGGGGCGATGGGGCGCAGTTCTCAATAGCAGTGTTCAGCAGCAACCCGACATGTTCCTGTAATGCCTTTCCTCCTACCCTGGGCTCTGTTTTCCAGGCTGGATATCTGCAGGCAGGGTTTGACGCAGGGGTGCGTAGGAGGAGAGTTGGAAAATGCTCCCAGCTTTCTGTGCAGGGCCTCGTCCGGAGGGCGAGTCTTTCTCGCTGTCGAAATGGCCTTTCATTGCGTTTGTGTCGGCGTTCTTTGCGATGGTGCGTTTTGTTTTTAAGTAGCATGGGCGTAGAAGCTTTCAAAAGCGGCCGGCGACTGGAGGAAATGGGACCGCCGGCTGAGGTTAAAGATGGAAGTGCTTGTCTGTAAAACAGCCCGGCCCTGTCTTTCCTAGGCATCCCCAATTCACCTGGGCTGCGTGAACAGTCAGAACGATTGAAGCCTGAATCCGATCAGCAATTTGAAATGGATCCTGTGCCCCTCAGCCTCCCTCTTTCTTCATGTGTTGTATTATGTGTATTATTATTTTTCGCTCACCCTGAAAAGGTCAGTCGCCAGAATCGGTTTCGCCCTTACAGTAAAGGAAAGACACCGGCCCCAGGGGTGTGCAGAGCTTTGGCTATCGCCCCATGTGACTGATGAAATGAGGGCGTTTTTGGGAATTTGGACTGCCGGTTCATTCAGCTTCCTGACCACTCACCGCCAACCTGCCTCCTCGCGCCCGGAAGGACCCACTCGTGGGCCAAACGCATGAACGCTAGATGTCTCCACCACCAGAGGCCTTTACTCCTGCTTTTCCGATGCCCTAGTTAGCCAGCCCTGAGCGCTCTCCCTTCTCCCAGTATCTCCCAAAAACGTTGACGTGCCCGGTTTCTCAACGCACTGCTCCGAGTTCTGAATCGGCTCTAAAAAGGCGAGGGCTCCAGTCTTCAGAAGCCGCGGGCTGAGTTTAAGGGGGAGATGGTACCCCCCTGAGAATTGTGTACTCCGCATTGTCCCTCCCCTGATGTATGCGTTTCAGATTTCTCGAAACTGTTTCCCAAATGTCACCCTCGAAGAAAATGCCCGGTTGAATACCAACAGAAATTCCCCATTTATGTTTGCCAACAGAAGCTCCTTGATCAAAATGAAGATTTCTAAGACTCAAATTCCCTGTTCCAGGCAGTAGTATACGGAATCGGTATGTGGTGGGTGGAAAACTTTTTTTTCTGATTCTCAAAAGTGGACATGCAGCAGAGGATTGCTGGTGACGTTGAAGATATTGGAAGGATTTTCCTGTGTGTCTTGTTCCTGAATGGGGAGATGTGGATTCTTGGCTGATCTGTATTTGAACCTCAGGAGACTCCTCCTCCACACTGTTATAATGGAACTCCTTTCTTCATTCACATTTTCTTCCTGGCCCAATGAATGTGTACTATAAACGCAGTATGATAAGGTCTTTTTTTAAAAAAAAACCCAAGGGTATTGTTTAAAACCATAAAAGCTTTTTAACTCTTGCTAGTCTAGTAAATGGAGGTGGGGGTTGGGCTGTTTTGCTTTCCTCTGGCCTGAGGAAAAAATGAATTTCTAATGAATTGCTGGTGTTTAATGAGGGACCCATCTCTCCCAGGCCTGTTTGTACAATGAAGCCTCAGAAGAGTTCAGCAGTGACTGGTGTGCTGTGGTTCGCTCAAGGATGTTCTGTAGTTACAGACATTGTCATGTTTTTTTTTATTTTTATTCAGAAGTGCTTTTACTGCTGCTGCTACCACGTTAGTGCTCAACAATTAAGCCTTAAATGCAAACGTGTGAATATTATATGGTTACCGTTTTTTCTTTCTAAAGTGACAGTATCATGGCCGGCACTTTTGTTTTAAGTAGCATTACTTGAAAATGCAGATTGGGGGGGCGGGGGGGGATTATGGTTTTATCGAGTGTGAGGAAGAGAGCTAAAAAATAAACCTTTCGTCTTGCAGTGAACAAAATTTGAAATGCTTTCCCGTCATTTAAACCCGCCATGAATTCTATGAAGAAAGACGAGTCCTATCAGTCCGTTCTTGCTAGGAGAAAAAGACCATGTTGGCGCTACCTCAGTGTTTGGCTCTCTTTGCTCTAGAGACTCAATTTTGCGATTGCAATACGATGACTGAAACTGTTGATCTCTAAAGGAAACGAATTGTGTTTAAGGGATCGGAGCACCGATTCCGCCTTGCATGATTGAGTTTTGATGCGCGGGTCTGGGTTTCAGATGTTAACCCTGTTTTAGTGTTTTTGAGCTTGACGCATGTCTCAGGATACCGTTTTTTCATCGTCAGAATAAAATTAGGACGCTTGGGGGAAGAAAGCAGTAACAGTATTGTTTTAAACAGCTTTGCACCTCTGCAGAATATTTTAAGTTGTGGTTTACGGCTCTCGCTGAGACTTCAGCGCATCTCGGCTCCCAGTAATTCTAGTCGGTTGAAAAAAAAAGTGTTGACGTCTTCTCCCTGGTGTTCTGCTGTTGTCTCCCCCAGTCTTTGTTTTCAGACCTTTGAAAATATTTTTCTTACAACTGAGAGAAGTCAAAAGCGGTGCACTCTCCAAGTAACAAGAAAGGGCGTGCAATTCGTAACGCCAACAGTTGCGGAATCGGACAGCGAAACGCAAACAACAGGGATTCTGATATTATTGGAGTAGAGAAGGAGTAAACTGTCTTTTGCTCTTGTTTTTGACCGCAAAGTGTGCATTTTCACGACGTGTGTACGCGGGGTGTGAAAAGACGTTTCGCTGGCAGCTGATGGGTGTTCATCGCCAGAAAAAGCACTGTACATTTTTATGACCGTTAATATACCACTCGACAAGACATTTCAAGACACGTCATGCGTATTTAGGTCATTGACCCGTTTGATGGCAAAGGGGATCTGCAGTCACTGATCAAAGTTGCTGTCGAACCGTCGCCGGCGCTGGGCTGCAGCGAAAATAGACCTCTTCTTTTTAATAGACTATTCTTCAAGGAAATTTCTGTCCTGTTTTCTTCTTTTACAGACGTCCGAGTGTAGCGCTTGAGTGGTTTGTTGTTTGTTTGTTTTTACTTGAAGGCCTGTGGATTTTGTCTGTTGTCTTTCATTACAAATAGGATTAATTAATTAACCTCGGAGTTTCGGCTCAGCAATGTGAAGTATAGGAATTATCAGCGGTCTCGGACTGGTCATCTGTCGCTACCTTGATCTTCCTGTGCTAACATTGCACATGCTAGAAGTGCTTTGTTGTTGTTGTTGTTGTTGTTGTTTTTGCAAATATAGATTTTGGTTTTAGTTTAACTTGCCGATCGTGCTAAGATACTGTCACTTTAAAACCAAACGGATGAAAGTACCGATGTGTGGAGCACAAAGGTAACTTTTGTCGTTCCTTGAAGTTCTTTCCGAAGTTTTGTTTGCTTGTATCGGTGATACTGTGAGAGGTGCCATACTTTTGCTGAAGGAAGATTTAAAAAAAAATCTCCAGAACAAAGTCTCTTAAACCTGCACACGCCACAAGTTTCCCCAAGTGGGGGGTTTCATCCTTGTAGTTTGAAAGAGTGGACGAGACAACAGCGGCCTTTGATTAGGATGGTCCGACATGAATCATTTTACAGACACTGTAAATTCTAACAACCCTTTTTTTTTTAAGAAAAAGGACCAAAGGTTAAATCACAACGAGTGAGGCAGAAACGGTAGAGTGTTTTCTTCCTCCGTGGGAAACGAGCTGGATAGATCTCTTTCAACGTGGTCGATATCCGCATGTTGAGCTCGGCGCTGACAACAACATGCATTTGCTTGATCAGAGAAGAGGAGGAAGGTTGGGTCTCATTAAGAGGGCTTTACATGGACCAGGAGAATGAAGTTGACTATCTGAGGTTTAATGTGATTCTGTAAGGCAGTGGGCGATCTCTTGTTTCGTTGTGGGTGGGCCGTTCACGTGTGGACGTCGCCGATTACACTCTTTGGATCTGGTCTCCCGTGGAGTGTCCGAGCTTTTGTCGCCGTCCGTGTCTGTCTTTCTTAAAACGTATGCATGGCGTTGGGTCAGGCAGGCGGCTCTGTACAGTTCTTCTTTTGTCGGGACAGAGACCACCACACGAGTGCATTGCGTTGTAAAAAGACCTGCTCGATTTCTTTCGAAAATAAGTGATCTGGGCCCGAACCGGATCGCTTCACCCCGGGAAAGGCTTCCTTTTTTTCTATCTGTCCGGCGCTGAGCGGAAAACCACCAGCGTGTCTGTGACTGCAACTGAGGTATGGCAGTGCTGTAGCAGCTCTTTTGCAAAATGTTACGTTTCAGAAGTGTTTCACTACTCTTGTTCTTGTGATCGGAGTGATTTATGCTTGTTATCGGACCTTCTCTCCGCTCTGTAATTCGGTGAAAGGACATGAGAGAGCGGCGGTGCGGAATGACTGCTGTTTGACTTTGGCCACCAGAGGGAGCTCTTTCCCGTGTTGCCTGAAGATTTCTTTTTATTTATCGTGTAATTTATTGCCAGGTGTATCTTTTTTTTTTCTCCTTTTGCCTTTTGTCACTTCAGACTTCACGTTAGAAGTAAGCATCGCGATTTAGTGTTGTAAACAACGTTAAAAGGTACTGATAGCTCCTTATTTATTGTGTTGGTGTTATTCTGTGACACCAAAGTGCTGTCAAAAGTATTGTAATAAGAGCTTTGCTTCACTAAGGTACAGACGTTAAGGCGCAAGACACGGAAATGCTACTTTAACCTCCTATTTCATGTCGTTTCTCATAACCTTGAAGGGAAACGCTGAGAAAATGCCTTTTCTTTCCAAACCCCGTCGTGGTGTGACCCGTCTGCGTGAAAAGAGCTGTGCTCCTCTCTGCCTAGCCCGATATTTTTTAATCGAAAAGTTTCAGAATATTGACGCCAGTGTCCAAGTAATATTTCACCATGTATAACAGGGCATATTTTGATTCCAGTTGTTTCGGACACCTCCATCAGAATGACCGGTATTTATTGAATGTGTTTTTTACAGGGTGCTCGAACATCCAGAGATGTTGCATCTTCACTTATATATACTATTGCAAGAGAAGGCTTGAAATGTATCTCCTGTATGAAACAATGTATTCTGGTGTACATACATATATATACATTATATTTACAGAGAGAGGGCTGCTGTTGCCTGTAAGTGTGTTCTGTTTGTATTCGGCCTTTGCTGTGTTGATTATCTCATTCAAGGCATCCCCCTCCCACACAGACACAAGACTGATGCTAGAATAAAGTCCAGGTGTGCAGGCATCAGCCTGCCTGTTCAGACCCGTGTAGCAGAACACCGCACAGCCGATGCAGGCATGCCCAGAATGGAACAAAATGCTTTGAGTGGGCAATGCTTTCTCCTTGCCTTAGAAAATGTTTGTTTGTTTGTTTGTTTTTCCCCACGATTGTCAGCATGGTGATTTGCGTTTGCTGTTACGTTGGAGTGCCACTTGACTTCTTTTGACTGCGTATGTCTATTGGAAACAGAGCCAAGCAGCTATTAGAGTTTTAGTGCGTTTCAATTGTCAGGCTGTGGCTAGCCACCCAGTGTCGTGAGTGTTATTGAAGTCAGCAGTGGACTTCATGCCGAAAAGGGGGTTTCCCAAACAGGGTTAGAAAAGATTCCCCCCAACATGAGATACACTGATTATAGGGGTGACTATGACTTAACAGAGGATGTGAGTAATTCTTGAATTTAGAAAATTGTTTTGCATTATTTTATTTTATTATAATTATTATGCTTAAAAGAAATAAACTAATATCAATTCCTATAATATATCAGTGTTAATGTTCTGTTTGGATGATATATTTTAATCTATGATGGAATAGTGGCGTTAATATAAAATTTAAGAATGTGGAATACATCTTTTATTAACAATTTTTAATCCTTCTGCAGCCAGTACAAAAATGAAATAAAACAAAGGAATAAAGTAAATATAAGAAATATCCCATTTAGATAGTTCTTTTTCATAAAGGGTAGCACAATTTTATTTTTTTGTATTGTTTTTCTCATCGGTTGCAAATTTGTTTTTCCATTGCATTAATGTTTAGAAATACTAATGTTATTTATTAATTATTTTGAGGCTATACCCCTATTTTAGAGTTACATTGTGTATTTTTTATTTTTCTGGAATTTATGCACCTGTCATTAAAACATTTTTGAATAAATTTATATATTTCTGGTTTGTTTACTGTTTCATAAATAGAATTGGGCAGTGGGCATAGTTTTCTTTTCATTAAATGTATAAAGCATCAGTGGATCAGCTGTAAGGTCTTGGTAATCACTATTTGTCAAGAGACAGAACTGCGTTCTGAAAACTCATCTGCCTAACTGAACTGATGCGTGACTTGCTAAATCTGTATAATTAAGAGAATAATTAATTAACTTGTAAACAGTAATTGTTTTAATTATTCTGTCTGAAAAGAAAGCAGATCCTCCAGCCCTTCAGCAGCTCGTGTTTTAAAGATATGATGCAGAGTTGGGCTCGGTTTGCCATGAAGTCACTGTATCTCAGTCTTTTATTCTGTGAGCAAAAAGAGGAGAAGAGCTCCTTCCAGCCCATCTTACTCATTTCATTGCTTATATCTGTGCAGGATCTTATCTTCCTTGAAGATCCTAGAGATTTTCATCTTCAGTGTAATGGCTGGGCACTTTGTTCCAGACCCCCACACCCCTTTGTGTAAAGAAGTGCCTCCTGACATTCAGTTTTTATGTTGCCATTGTATCCCTAACTCCTCATTTTACTGTTGTCCTGCAGTAGTCTCTTGCATTCAAATTGTCAGTAGCTTTAAGAAGTTTAAATACTTAAAAGCATCGAGATCATGAATAATTTCTTACTTATATAGCGCTTTTCTGGACACTCCACTTAAAGCTCTTTACAGGTAATGGAGACTCCCCTCCACCACCAGTGTGCAGCCCCACCTGGATGATGCTCCACTACACTCACCACACACCAGCTCTCAGTGGGGAGGAGAACAGTGAGGAAGCCAGTTCAGAGATGGGGATTATTAGGAGGCCATGATGGGTAAAGGCCAGGGGGAAATTTGGCCAGGACACTGGGGTAACACCCCTACTCTTTTCAAGAAATGCCCTGGGATTTTTAATGACCACACATTTCACAATGGTTTCTTTCACTTCGCTGGTCTTTTTAATGCTTCACCTGTGCCTTCTGGACCAAGGACAGGAGTCCAAATAAAAACCCAAATCTTTTGCACAAATTGCTTCCTCAAGGCCCGTCAGCATGCGCAGCACAGCACCCCATATTGTGAGACACTCTTCTCTCTTGATTTCTGAACTCCGGGGAAACTCTCTCGGCTTAAGATGCAGGGACTCTGCCTGAAGCTCTGATGACAGTTTCCGATGTGGAAAGGGTCAGTAACGGGAAGCTTCCCAGTATTTTTCCTCGATCCTTTAACCATTTAAAGAAGCCAAATTGCAAAACATCTTAAAACTATTTTTTAAGATTAAAAATCTATACTTAAAATTAGGCACATTCTTAGCTTTTCGTATGTGATTCTGTACATTTCTACTTGAACTGCTTCTGTCTAAGGGCTCAAAAGTGTAAACCATTTGTTTTTTTTAAATCCATGGTAAGCTTGTTTTATGTGATTTAAATCTTGTTCAGGATTGTTTAATTGGGTACTCGGCTATTTTTCTTTCTTTGGAAGTTGCTTTTGCGCATGTGAGCGATTCCATAAAGGAGACAGAAAGTTGGGCAGGACTGCATATTGAGAACAGCACCCATTCAGTTCCGATGTCAAGTCCATGCGCTGCAACGCGCCAAATGTCCACTGGGTGGCGCGCTCTTCCCGGAGAAGGTTCTTAAAAAGACCGACGTGTTCCGTATTCTGTACATGCACCGTTTACTTTCCTGCAGATTGTGTAACGCAGATAGCCATCACAATCAGGTAAGCGTGAATTAATCACTGACGAATCTGGTGTTCTAATTAAAACAATTAAGGATGTCTGAAAACACAGGTGGTGAACACTCTCAGGGCTCCAGGAGGCTGGTTTGATCTCCAGCTTGGGACGTCTGTCAGTGCGGAGTTCGCACGTTACTCTCAAATGTGGACTATCGTCAGCTGATCACGGTTCGTGCCGTGTTTCAAGGTAGGTTAGATTAATTATAAAAATAATATTAATAATAATAATTGCTTACACTTATATAGCGCTTTTCTAGACACTCCACTCAAAGCACTTTACAGGTAATGGGGACTCCCCTCCACCACCACCAATGTGCAGCCCCACCTGGATCACGCTATATTGTCCTTTTCTGGGGAGGTTGGAGAGGCTGTACTGGCTTACTGACTTACTTATTGGACTAAGAAGAAACGGAACCACATGAGCACAGGGAGTTGAATGACCTCGGTGATGCTCTCTGAGCACAGGGCCCCCTCTAAAAGCTCCCTGTCTTTACCGTTGCTATATGCATGTTCTTGTAAATTTGTAATCGGAAAATCACTGCGATAGTGCTCCGTATTACCGCAGAGAATTCTCTCCAGAGCTGTTGACTGGTTGCACTGGTCCTGACACCAGCTGCTATTTTTTTTGTTTTGACAAATTTCGAACCGGCAGCTGTATTTACGTATGTATTCCACTTGCATACCAAGAACAGTGGTCAATTTACTCCACAGGCCCAGCTAAGCTCACGGTGCACAGCTCTTCTCAAATTCTGCCAAAGATCCCGCTTTTGAAAGTGACTGATGCCAACGGAGAGCCATAAGGGAGGATGCAACTCCTGCTGGTCGGATTATTCCAGTCTCCAGGTTCAAGGTTATGTCGATTAGCATTTCAGGGATGTTCAGCGTGTCTTAACCCAGTCTGCGTAGGAGTCCGGTCAAGGAGGGAAAGTCCATCTCTCTCCGAGGAACTAGAGACACCACCCCCGAGCTGTTTTGCTTCTTTGTTTCTTTGTCGTATTGCAGTTGTGGTGGGGTTCAGTAGCAACATCTGTTTTGCTCTGTACATGTGCCAGGGAATTAACATAAAGCTCTCTTTAAAAAATGTTCCCACATTCCCGTCCTTGGTTCCTAGAGTAGCCTCTCGAACCCTGGAAAATCCTTTCCAAAGCCAGCACAGGTCCATGGGGCTACATTTGTTTGTTTGCTGCTGCTTCCTGTCTGGGTTTGGAATTTTGGGAACAATGGGCTTTGGAAGTACTGGGAATTTTTGGGGGAGTATTTTTTTCTGAAACTGGTTTTAATAGCTATATAGAAGAGGGTTTAATTTAGTTTTTTTTTTCTCCTCGTTTAGCCAAGGATTTTCGACATTATCTTTGATCTCTCCGACGACGTTATTTTCCTCCAGTTTCTCACGGCAAGGATAGGGAACAGGAAACTGGCGATTCCAGCGGTGTGAGAGATACCCAGCCTCGCTGACTTTCCTCCGAAAGATCTCCAGGCTTGGAAGAAGGAAAAAGGCTCTCGTTGTGTCCCGTTTTGGCTTTTATTCTGAATTCTTGCTTCTGTGCACGACCGATCTCATCAACAAAGCAAGACTAGGCGCGGGCACTGCGTCTTCGGGTCCACGTTTTAATCGCAAACCGGAGGGAGCGGAATTGTGGAAGCCTTTTCCGAAGATGGTTTTAAGGACGCTTCACGGTACAGATCGCCACATCCCAGAAACGTCCCTGGAAGGCCCAGGCTAGGAGATGGGACAGCATCCCGGACGATTGCCCATTGCAATGGCTTGAAGAAGATCATGAACCCAGCCAGCGCCTCTTTTTTTATGAGAACCGAGGCGCCCAGAGGTGCCCCAGTCCAGACCTCAAAGCTGTGCTGCGGTAGCAGTGATAAAGCTTTCATTTCCAGGTTTTAAAAAACAATACTAAATGCGGGTGTTTGTTTTTAAGTCACGTTTATTTGGCATTGTTTTCTTTCAAAACAACAGTAAAAAATAACTACAAGCTTCAGGTTCACAAGTACATCTTAATTTACACACAGTAGCAAAAAAAAACACCATTAAAAATCAGAGGAAGAGGAAGATTTTAACAGTCGTTTACAGTTTTCAGAGGTTAGAAGAGCTCCCAAAAAGCATTTTGCTGAGGGCTGAGAAGGGAGACGCTGCTTTAATCATTTGTGAAGGTTAAAAAAAAACTCGGATGACCCGAAAGTGTAAAACCAATTAAGAACTGAAATTCTCTATATTTTTTTTTCTTTTGGGTGCTATATGCAGTCCTCTAAAAAAAAAAAACACATGCAGGAAATCCTGAAGATTAAGAATTAAAAAAAAAGTAGAAGCGGGAAGGTCGCTATCATGTCGTTTTGAAATCCACACCAGAGCAATATTCCTCCGAGTCCTAGGGTTGCAGTCAGCTCTTTAAAGAATGTTTACAGTGATTCATCTGAGCTGTCAGCAGTATTTAAATAGTTTAACTTAATCAAAGAAAATTGAGTTCCCTTCTTTTCTTTCTTGTTCATTTCGTTTAGTAATGTAATTCGGGAGCTGCTGGAGCCAACCTGAGGTCTGGAGATTGTTCTGTGGGGCTGCAACAAACACGCTGTCTCCTTCTCCCAGCCTTGCATTTCTAGTCCTGCATGTGACATCGTTCACTTCAATACATCCAGCTAAAATAAAATAAAAATCGAAACAAGGCACAGTATGTTTGTTTTGTCTCACTTGACTCCCGGTTCCGGTCTTACGCTTGCCTCACACCTTTTAATGTTCACAGATTCACATCGGTTACAGTCAAACGGTGTTTCGAAAAGCTCTTTTCGGGACAGCGTAGGCTAAGATGAAGCAGGGGCTGTCGGTGCTCTTTCCAGACCCCTGGAATGCTCCTTGTTTGATTCCGAAGTTTCCAAGGCAACCTCAACCCCTCCCTGACATCCAGCAGCTGTTGTATTGTGTCTGTCTGTCTTTGCAGGATTAAATGCTTGTTACATACAGTACCTTGACTCTTCCCACCTCCTCATAGCCTAATGCGCTGTCATGGACCAAGGCTGTGAAAAGGTTTGACTATAAATTATCCAGTGAGTAGTCTTAAGGTGCCCAACAGTCAAACACCATTTTAAGTTAACACATTAAAATAAACAAAACAAATGAAAGTAACAGCAGTGTAACAAAGATGCTAATTTTCTCTTTCTGTGAGTTTATTTTTACTAGGAAAATGCTGCTTTGGCCCAAGTCAGACTGTTGTGTCTTTCCTTCAGATGCTGTGCTTTAAAAGTACATAAACAGTAATTTATACAAACTGGCATCCGGCACACAGTGCTGAGCTACTGAACACTACAGCCCAGTTACCCAACACTGAGCAACTGAACACTGCATGTCAGCCTTCAACTCTGACCGACTGAACATACTGTAATCCTGCACTAAGGGCTAAGCTGCTGAACGCTGCGTTCCAGTACTCAGCACTAAGCTACTGAACACTGCAGCCCAGCACTCAACATTGCAGACTTGCAGTAAAACACTAAGCTCTACACCTACTGCGAGGCTAAACACTTAAAAGGTCACTCAAAATAACCCAAGACAACACATTTAACAGTGTTTCATTTCCAAAACAGCTCTGGGTTCACGATCATTTTCTTCTAACACAAAATCAGGGACCAAGACATTTCAGTGTGACTCATGTCTGGATTAAAACAAAAACACAGAAGAGAGCCCTGCACTTGGAAGATAACAATCTAGGAGGAGGCGCTAATTTTTAACAAACGCTGAACAAGCCCCTCTCAGTCAGCTGAACCATCAGCTAGTCTACATTTCTACATCACAATTATTTACAAACAGTGCAAGAGCTTGACGGTAGTTCACAGGAAAGGCTCGCTGCTCTGTGTGAACAAGGGAAACGGAGTGTAAAAGTATCTGGTCTGTCTCTCCCCTTGCTAGACCCCCAGTTAGAGGGAGCACTGAGGACTCAGTTCAGCCCACCGAGGAAGGAGGTGAACATAACCGTCATTTTCACACCCTGCCCCGAAACTTGGAAACCCTGTAATGTAACTTCTACAGAAATCCCTCCCGCCTCCAAATCCCCATTTTTCCCTCTTGAAATTCCCGGCAACCGTGAACTACAAGACACAACTGAAAGAAGGGTGAGGGACCTGGGAATTTCCCTCCACTTTCCATGTGCTGCTGAGAGGTGAGGGAATTATTTTCATGCTTTCTGCCATGTTTCAGGTGTTCCCACTTGGCTGAGGCTACAGATCCCAGGCATCCTCTCTGCAGTGGAAGCCATAACTGTAGCTGAAGTCTAACTATTGGTATTTGTGTAGCACTTGACATTGTCTTGTTAATTAGGCAGCACTGGTTTTGCATACCAGTGTTGCACCAAGAAACCCAGGTCTTCCATTCATTCCATTGCAGTCAAGTGTCCAGAGAAGAGCCCCGATCTCCTGCAACGCTGTCTCAGGTTTAGATTGCGTTTTTACTGCTCTTGCTGAGGCGACTGTTTGGTCTTTGGGCCTGTTTGCTGCTTTATTGTTAACACAAGACCTCAGAGCAAATCAATAGAAGAGGATTGGAGAGACCTGAAATGAATTCATTTTTACAAAGCTCAGGAAAGACGTATCGGGCATAAGGAAACAAAGCCATACCCGAGACCCATAACGCTTTTTTTTCCTCCCATGTAGCAAAGTAAAACGTATGCGGAAAAAAAACAGGAGGTACTTATTTACGCTCAGTTCTTCATGTACCCCACCTTGCCCAAGCGATGTTGTTGCAGTTTCAAAGTGACTTGGAATGAGTATATTGGTGATGGAATAGCCCTGTCCCTCATCTACCTCCTTAAGGATGTTCCCGTTCTTGCAGGTGATACTTTCAGGGCATTTCGTTCACATGCTGCGTGCCCAAGCATGATTCGGTGATAATGTGTCCGAGCCAAAAAGGAGCCTGATATTCTGTTTCGTCGTCGATCTCAACCAAAACCAAAACGTGAGGGTTTCGTGAACAGGATCCTTCTGTTTGCATGTGTGTTCTTAACAAGCCATGCAATTGGCAGCCAAATGAACAAGGCACAGGCTGTAAGATATGTAAGAGATCTGAAAGCTAAGGGCTAAAACTAGAGGGCCTACTGGTACGAGAGACACCAGTCTAGCACAGTGGTCTCTGCATCACTCTGTAAGGATGGAGCTCGCAGTATCTCAGTGTTGTGTTAGCGTTAGGGTTCGGGTTAGGGGCGTTCTATCGATTCTTCTATCGAAAAGGGAAAGCTAAAACATCAAAAAAGAAATTGCGTTAAGCACAGTGGAAGCCGCCGTGATTGAAGTACCGGTGCCATTTCTGTTTTAAAGTCGTTTTGTCGTGAAGTTATTTTAAATACTACAGTATATATTACAAACGCCACGCACAACAAAAATAAACATCATTTACACCCATTGCCTGGAATGGCAATGGAAATAAAAAAAAACACAAAGTATAAAAAAAAGGGATTTTCAACTAAAAAATTAACGTTTTTGTCTCCGAGAGAAGTTTTGGTCGCCCCATCTGGGATTCGTTTCCGAATGTCCCTCTCTGAAAGGAGCCGTCTCGAGCTGTGACTAGCTGTGTGGGGACGGGATTCTAAAAGGGCTCATGAACGTATCTACAGGAGGATCTGCTTTGCTAAAATGACACCTTGCGCAAAACTCGAAGGAGGAGCAAGCGATTTTCCATCTCTTTTACACCCTTTTCCGTTCCGGGCCTCAGTTCCGCAGGTCGATGTATTTCTCGCACTTTACTCCAGAAGAAAAACAAAGAGAAGAGAAAGAAACAGGAGAACGTAAACAGCCTGAAGGGAGATATTGCAGGGTGACATATTTAAGATACGGCTACATCGCTTATCCCAGCACGCAAAGAGCTGGAAAGTCAACCTCAAGTGCTGCAACTCTGTAACATGCCTGCAGAAGCTCTGTGTTTTGTAATGCAGTCCAGTACATAGGAAGACATTGCTGTTGAAGCCCAATATATAAATAGTGTGGAATCTGCAACTATCAAGATATTGGTAGGGCCCTAGTACAGAGATGTTTTCTCTACTGATTTGATAAAGTACTAATCTCTGTCGGAATGACCACTTGTATTCTGGAAATTTGTTTCCAACAAAAGCAACATGAAACACAGATCAGTGAAGCCTTTAAGCTTCAAAGCCGTTGATTTTTTATTTGAGCCTTTATAGTTACCTGGTCACTGGGGGGTTTCTTTTCACCATTGACTCCCTGTAGCAGCACTGTCTCCTCAGCTGGCTTTTCTGCCTTCATCTCCACAACGATGTCGTCCTTCGTGGTTTTTTCCTTTGTGCTGAGGAGGAACACGCCCACTGTTACCACCAGCAGCATTAACCCAAGAAACACACACCTGCTGCTACTACATTGACAACACTAACCTTTTTCCTCCTCCTAATCCTCAGCCTTGCTCTCAGCTGGACCTTAAAGCCCTAAAACTGCACCCTGAGCACCTGTCATCCCTCACCCCAACACACACTCACCAACCTTTCCAGCATCCCCACTTCATAAATGTACTTGCTTTCTGCTCGGCCTACGTTTTGCCACAGCATTCTCCTCTTACCCAACACCCACCCATAAACTACACCCAAACCCTAAATTGTTGACTTGTGCTGCAGGCCGAGCATCAAAACAAAGCCTTTGCTTGATCATTTCCCCGTCTACCCTAGTGTCAGCTGGGATCTGTCAATTAAAAAGCAGTTCCGTTATATTTTTGGGGATTTCTTAATCAAGATTTGCCCTTGCTTTTTCCTTTTTTTACGTATGATCCCCATAACCACCTAAAAATGGTCTTCCTTTGTTGGCGTTGTTGAATCTGTGCTCCCGATCTACCAATGACTGCATTATGATACAGTATCTATAGAAATGGTATTGTTTTCTGTTTCCATTTTAACCCATCATAAGCCTATGCTCACCCTTAATGGGAGATTACATTAAAGTCCTGAACGTCTGAAGGAGACTCACATGTCCTGCTTGCCCGAGCGGCCACAGGGGATCCTGCCCTTCTTGTACAGGAAGTAGAGGACACTGCCCAGGATGGCGAGGAGGAGGATACACACGATGATGACCGCGATGATGACGCCACTGCCCTCTAGAGGAGAGGAAGGAAAGTGCAGCAGGGGTGAATTTCTTCCATCTTCTGAAGGTCTGGTGTTCGCTGTGCTCTTTTCACCGTGCACATCGAACTGCAGTACCCTGGAGCGATGAATTTTTTTTCCGTCTACAAAGGTATTTCTGCTGATGAGCCTGAAAATCCGGTTGTGCTCTAGATGCAGCCCTGTGGAGCTAGTGGCGAGGTCTCTGGACTCAGTAGCATGTGGGATCAAAACCCAGGTGGGGCTCCTGTGTCATTCTCTTGTACCTCATTCCAGAGTGTTTCATCCAAATCCTCAGCTTTGTAAGCAAATGATCATCGACAGTGATCATTTTGACATTGTCTGGTTAACTAATCATTTTCACAGTTGAAATGTAACAGGTGGAGGAATTATTTTTCCACTTTTACTAGAAAACGGATTATGGAATATCTCCACCTCTGACCTCTGAACACTGGTGAAGGTCCCACTGATCCAGAAATATCACCCCCTTGTTCCCCCACATTCTTGTTATTTGAACACGAGAATTTGCCATGCTCTATAATGTAATTGAAGAACAGTTCAGAGACAGGTTACACAAATGCAGCAGTTTATTTATCTGAGCAAATCTTTTGTCCTTTTTTATTTACTTTTTTCACTGCCTTGGAGTAGGCACCAGCATTTCATCATTTCAGAGCACTTTAGTCGGGGGGGAAACCGAAAGGCTCAGGTGACGAAATTGGGCAAACTTGTTTTGGTTCTGTTCACTGCAAGAAGGCAGCGCAGGTCTGCTCAGATAAATAAAACCTGCCCCGTGCTGGAATACCACTGGGTTGACCCCAATGTGAACTGAAGCTGTAACAAGAAAATTGCCCGTGTCCGTGCAGTCTGTAATCTCTGATGGAGCCTGCTGGGTCAGAACATTGCTTTCATATTCCAAAGTAATCGAGTATTTGTGTTCTGTGCTTTTTTTCAATTGGAAGATTCAGTGCTCTGCAAATGGAGGTAAAACCTCTATTAAAAAGCAAAAGCTTAGTTCTTTCTTCTGCATTCTCTGCAGCGCCAATGCAGTATCATGCTCTGTGCCCCTGTTGTTCTGTTACCCTGAGGTTTACCAGAGATTAAAGACTGCAGTTCAGCCTGTCACAGGGGCTTGAGCTACTGTAGGAAGGCAGCCTGTGAGGGCAGAGCTGCTGAGTGCAGCACAAGCTGTTTTCGCACTCCTCCATCAAATTTCCCTCAGCGCTGTCCGAGCTGACTCGGGATTTTCACTGCATTTCTCCTCAGCCGGCTTTTCTGTTTTGTTTTTTTTATACCACATTTGAAACGCAGTAAAGGGAGTGAAAATAGGCAGATTTTCAAGATACATTGTTGTTTTTTTCTTTGTAAAGAATGACTTGGGTCTTTGCTGAGGGTTCAGTGCAGGAGCAGGGCCTGGGGTCAAGGCGCCTTTGTCTGTGACGCTGTGGAGCGCGTCCAGGGGGACAGAGCTGCCCCGGGGGTTTATTTTTCAGACCCGCGCTCTGGCTGTGAAGACTCGAGTGCTGCTGCAGACACACCTGGAGGCTCTGTAGAGGAAGAGCCGAGCGAGAAAGGTGTGCTTTAGGTTAGATGTAGCCGTGCATGCTCACAGTGGGAGGGTGGGAATGAGTTGGGGTGGGGGTGAAGCTGAGAACAGGGAGCGTTTTTGCGAAGCACAAACCTTTTTTCACAATCTTCTCTCTGGATTTTGTGACTAGAACAAACCAGAGGGAAATAACATTTTTAAGAAGTCATTCGTTCCAAGTGCCATTACTCTTTCAAACTCCAATGTATGAGCCTCTTCCCAGCACTGTATTGACAGCCTATACACCTGTGTCACACCTGAACCCTATGTTTTTGTTGTATTGTTATATTGAATTGTCAGTTATATTGCACTGATTGCATACATCTTGTAAGATCCACTGAAGGTTTTAGGTATCCTGCATGACACTCTTGATATTGTTGTCTCAATGAGGCCAAAGGAAAATTTCAATAAAGTAGATTCTGACTCTGATTCTACATTGACTTGAGATCAACTAAACTAAAACTTTTTGATTAGGGGCTTTCATGGCACTTAAACATCTAAAACCTGTCACTTTACCATTTAGAAAATAATTTTGATGAAAGCTGTCTTGTTTAAACTCAAGCTAATAGAAACCATACGTTTAATATGAGTGACGTTTTAAACATGAGCTACCTTCTACTGGTTTTCAGCTATACTGTGTTGCAACATGTTCCTGGTGAAGTGCTTTCACACAGGACAGTGCTGGATGTAGAGACTGTGAAAAAATCATTAGGAATTAATTTGCTTTTTTGGCTTTATATTAATCATGGCTTTCATCGCTCGGTGACTAATGATCATCAAAATCAAGATGAAGAGTCTTGTGGAGTCTGCAACACATGACCTCCAGGTCAAGAGGTAGGAAAATGATTCTTTTTCTTGTGTATTGAAGTCAGACAGTAAAAGCTGAAACTCACCAGTGGTGGACGGAGCAGTAGAGGTAGTTACCAGAGGAGCTGGAATACAAAAAGTGAGATTTATTACCATCACAGCAAATCACTGCTGCTGCATCTGTTCCTTGTCTTGACACCAGGGAAAATAGGGCTTACACAATCACTTGTAATTGCAAACTATACACAGTGGGTATTTCTGATGGTCACAAATCAGGCTCTTAAGGGCAACCGTTTGTTAAGTTGTTGGTGATCTTTCTAAAGCAGCCAACACTTCTATCTTTACGACACTCGCGAATATTGCCTTATAAAGCCGGGTGAGTCTGTAGACCCGAAGCTGAAATCAACTTTAAAGAGCCTGGCTGCATGAGAGCCGGTCAGATTTGGGGGGAAAAAAGAGGCCTGTGCTGTGCATCAGAACATCCCTCCGTGAGTTGCTCGCTAGCGGAAGTTTACCAAGGGAAAAATGTTCTCCCCCTGGGTGTGGGAAATGAAAACCATGCCAAGCTGGTTTCCTTTTCCAGAAGCAGGCGCTCAATGCAATATGGGCTACAGAGCGTCTGCAAGTCTTTGTTTGTCCAAACGTCCGAGCTTCTGGTGTCGGTGTCTGTACGGTATATTACACAGGCATCACTGGAGATAAACTAGCCCAAACGTCACCACCAATGTGCAAATGACCTCCTGCTCACAGCAAGACTGGCACTCACTGGCTGAGATGGCGAAGAGATGCTCTTCGAAGCCGGCCTCGTTCGAAGCATTGCAAGCCGCCTGGAGGCCGGAGGTCACCCTGACGGTCACCACACTGACCACATGCTGCTCACCCGCGTGGCTGAACACCTCCCGCCAGTCCTGAAACACACAGCCAAGAGTTACTGCTTCCCCTGCCCAGCTGGGAAACGTCTCTCATTTCAACAGATCTGGTCCGGCTCCCCGAGGGTTAAGGCTGAAAAACGGACGTTTGAGATGCCCAGAAAATAATCAGAGGAGTGCAGTTTTCAAAAGCACAGGAGAACAAACTAATTAGCGAAAGGCCAGATATGTACATCAATACCAAGAGTGGGAAAAAAACCATGCACGGACAAAAGGAAACACAAATGTGTTCAAAGAAGAACAGAGAGTAGGGACTAATGTGCCTGACACTGGGTGAGAAGCATAGAGAGGAGGTATTGGCTAACGTAGCTTCTGAGAAAATGCTGAAATGGTTTTAAGGCTGCCGTCGTGGACTGGGGTTTGGGACTGGGAGTTTGTCACCTGCTAAAGTGTTCTGCAACAGATACAAGGCACCTCTGAACCCTGTGTATTAGTCTCCTGGCACTGAATATTACTAATTTGCTATTTCTTATTACAACCAAGCTAGGGCTAAACCCTTTTTTGGAGGGATCAACTGTGCTTAAAAAGTGAGTTGTATCCTTTAAGTACTTTCTTAATACTTCATCATCATGACAAAAACAGGGGTCACTTTGGTTTCCAAGCAATTGGACCACGACGGAAGTGGACAACTGAGGACAGTCTAAGTGACTCAACACGAGGTCAGTTGGGTCTCTGGCCGTGGGATGTGGCGCACAAGACAGAAATGGTGTGAGAGGAGGGCAAGAGATGGGGAATGGAGAGCGGAGGGGAATGAGAAGAGAGAAAAACCGAATGTACGCAAAGGTAAAAACCTTCACCAGCATTTCAGTGACAGCAAGGAAGCAATTCAACACATAGTCAAGGGTCATTTACAAAACTTTACTGAAACTGTTGTGCTGGAGACTACGTCATTGAGTTAGAACAACTCGTAACTGTATTTGCTGTTCTAAAATTCCCTCTTAACTCTGTCCCATCATCCCCTGATGTTTCCTTGCTCTGCAGGTACCTGAGTGCCAGATATAACCCAGTGGATTTTGGGCTGGGGGTACGCGCGGGCTTCACACGTGAGGTTCACAAACTTTCCCACAGTTTCCTCTATCTCTGTCTCAGGATGCATGTTCAGCCTTGGTATTCCTGACAAGAAAAAACAATGTGGAACTCTTAATTCACGGAACTACGATCTCTATCCCCCACCAGAGAGGTCTCCATTCCTGGATGTTGAGCTGCGGTCTCCAGCTGTGAGCCTGCGTGCACTCACCCTGCACAAGCACCATCAGCGAAGCACTCTTCTCCAGCCCAGGCAGCTCCGGCACGCTGACCTCACAGACGTACTCTCCCGCTGTGTCAAAGGTAGCCTCCGTCAGGGTCAGCGTGTTGCCTGCTGAGATGGACTCCCCCTTCTGCAAAGAAATGGACCAGCAAAGAAAGAAAGGGGCCGTCGGACTCTTTTCTCCGAAGGGCAATTTAATGGCCAGCAGCTCAACAGGTGTGAGCCTGGCCAGCTGCTGCTGGAAGAGGTGTAAGTGGGACCAGTAGGGGGTGCTCACCCTGTGGTCTATGTGGGTCCTAATGCCCCAGTATAGTGATAGGGACACTATACTGAAAAAAAGGTGACTTCCTTCGCATGAGACGTAAAACCGAAGTCCTGACTCCCTGTGGTCATTAAAAATACCTGGGGGTTTCTTGAAAAGATTAGGGGTGTAACCCCGATGTTCAGGCCAAATTTCCCATTGGCCTTTACCCATCATGGCCTCCTAATAATCCCCATCTATGAATTGGCTTCATCACTCTGTTCTCCTCCCCACTGAGAGCTGGTGTGTGGGGAGCGTTCTGGCGCACTATGGCTGCCGTCACATCATCCAGGTGGGGCTGCACACTGGTGGTGGTGGAGGGGAGTCCCCATTACCTGTAAAGCGCTTTGAGTGGAGTGTCCAGAAAATGTAAGCAATTATTATTAAATTACAGAGTAGACTCCACTGGACCATGACCCTGTAGGACAAGAGTTGGAGTCCGTTTTCGAAAAAGAGGAGCCCCAAAAGCCAGTGATGCCCCAAGTCATGGAAACCCCATTTTGACCTCTGAGACAGATAGAATTCCTCCTGGAATCGGCTGCCATTGTTGTCTGGGAATCTGAACATTATTGGACACCTGGCTCACAGGAGCCTGATGTGGGCTCTGTCTCCATCTTCTTACCTTCTTCCACACAACCTGGGTTTTCAGAGAAGACAGGGCATTGCAGGACACTATCAGACGGTCTCCCTCCACAGCGATAACAGTGTCTGAGGGTTTCAGCACAACAGGGTCCAGATCTGCAGAGAGACAAAACGCACAGTCCAGTTCAAAGTCAGCCTGCTTGAAAAGCCTACTTCAGATCTGACTCACAAAGCAGAGCCTTCACCCATTTTGCTGCAAAGCCTCAAGACCCCTTGTCTTTTAATGAATCTGTTTATCAAGAAGCCCTGAGACCTATGAAACTCTGAAACTCAAAGGTGCCTGCAAGTAAGGGTGTCCGGTACCAACGTTGCTCACTGGCTGCAATATGCGTTTGGCGACTGGATCTGTGGACAGATAAGAAAACACTTTGTGTTGTTGGTAACAATGCCAATTCCTTGTTTTTGCAGGAAAGTCAGTCTGTGGGAATCTGAAATGAGCTACCCAGAAATGACTGGCCTTCTCTCGATTCCACATTACGATGTTCTTTGATGTACTGGGCAGGAGTGTTCATCCATTCTCACTCACAGTGGACTAAGATCTCCAGGTTTGCTGTGAGCTCTTCAAATGTGTCCAGGTCCAGGGTCTTGCATTGGTAAAGTCCACTGTCTGTCCGAGCCACTTCCTCCAGGGTCAACAGGTCAGACTGAGATTTCAGTTCGGTCTCCTCAGTAGACGTTGACTGACGGAAACAAAAGATTGTTCAGATTTTGTAAGAGCATGCACAGGCAGACAGAGATTGGGAAGTCTATTTATATATTTTTGTAAATGCCAAGTGTTTTTATTACATTATGAGATTATCTTGTGTCCTATGTCTCCTCCACCACCACCACTAAAAGAAACAAAGCAGTTGGTTTTAGATCTGTGTCTGGTTTCCTGGACAGTTTTCTGAGAGGGAATATGAAAGCTGAAAATCCAACAAAAAAAATCCAACACATTTTTTAAAGAAAGTTTAAAGGTTTTGTTTATGCTTTGTCAAAATAAATAAAGGAGGGGTGAGGTGTCAGGCTGGAGGGGTTAGGGATTGAGTTCTTACCCTGGTTGAATAAAACGTGTACTGTGGGGGTGGGTTTCCGTCACCACGGCAACGCAGCTTCACAGTGTCACCTTCTTTAATCAGGCCCTGAGGGGACTCGCTCACCAGCTCCACCTTGGTGGTTGGATCTGTGGACAAGAAGGCTTCTTTAGAAAGCTGGGCCTCTATAGCCAATCCACTGACGTCCCTTCTGGTTCCTGGCTCTACAAGAAACTCACTCAGGCAACTCCTGAGGAGGCTCAGCTTAGTCGGCGACGCAGTCCTTTTTAAAAGAGCAGAAATTACTCTTAAAAAATTCAACAAACTTTTCAACAAAATTCAACAAAAAAGAGTAGATGGCATTCTCCTGTTTGTCACCATGCAACCAAGGTGACGAGTATAGAATATGTCACTCTGGTAACATGAAATTATGTCAAAACTAAAGATGTGTGAAGAGTGAAAATTATATTATATACTTTCTCTGAAAGAGACTTCCCACTGAGATCCACTTTTTCTGTTCACTGCAGCTCTCACAACATCATTCGTAAAACTAGTGGTCTGAACTCTGGTATACTGGCTGAGGTCCATCATTCAGAACACTGGCAGGATAGTGTACGTGCAAGAGCCAAAATACTACAAATCTATATGTTCTGTGAGGAATTATTGACTGTCGACCATCAACATTGCAAATTAGATCATTTTCTGTCCTCTGATTAGTTACTCTTTTCTGTGATGTATTATTGAGTGTCTGGTAGAAAACCTCAGTCCATCCTACATCAGCTCATATACAGTACCTCATCTCTCTATAGAGCTACAGAGCGAGGCCATTGCTTAGCTTAGTGCTTTCCCTTGTCAATTTCACTGACTGCTCTGGTGAAAACCACTATGCATGTGCAAGTACAGCTTCTACAGAGATTCACAAAGGCAGGGACCGTGCGGAGGAGATATGGGGCTCACAGTGCACGGTGATGTTGATGCGCTCTGATTCGACCATCTTAAGACTTCCTGGGGCAGAGTAGGTGACCTCGCAATAGAAGGTGGCATCTTTGTCTTCCTTGGAGACCTTGTAGAGCAGGCTGCTCTTCACCGAGAAGAGTTCATTGGACTCCTTGGTCACTTGTGGCACCACTGTGATCTCTAAACACACAGAGCCACATGTCAGCACATACACACAGAAACACATTCTTCAGCTTGCACAAGAGCACATACACACAGAAACACATTCTTCACCTCACACAACAGCACGTACACACAGAAACACATTCTTCACCTCGCACAACAGCACGTACACACAGAAACACATTCTTCACCTTGCACAAGAGCGCACACACAGCAAGCTGAGCGCTCTGTGAGAAAACAGCACCTTCATCTCCGACGACAGCGCGCACACAACACACAACGAAGAAACACATCCTTCATCTTGTACATCAGTACAGACACTACACAGAATACAGCTTCTTCATCTCTGACAAGGGAGACACAGCACACAACAAGAAACACATCCTTCATCTCACACAAAACAGCATAGACAGATAGCCAGAAAACAGCTCCTTCATCTCTGATCCACTGTCCTAGTCATGCACTTGGTCAATACACAATATCTAAAATAAAATCTCATCTTTAGTTGGGCTTTGGCCATAGGTGACAGGATTGATGCGTAGCTGGGCGTGGAGCAAGAAAATGCCTTTATAAATTGTGCTATATGATACTGGATGTGCACTAAATGTATTAGGATTAGGAATCCCCGCCAGATGGTGTCTTGGGCTCCTGCAAGCAGCAATGATGACTTGATTAACGAGTGTTCCACAAAGTTCTGACATATTTGCATCCCAACCTCAATACCATCCTTCTAGAGCGACTGTCTTCAGTGGAGTGTGTATTATTATGGTTGTGTGATGTAGTTTACAGGCAGTGACGCTACTCACAATTAGGGACAGTACATTCACAGCCAGTCTATATATACAGTATGTGTGTACTTCGATACATAGAAATGTAATTGAGTTATTCAGCATGGAAAATCAAATTAGTACTGTGTTTGCATCTGACGTTAATGTAATATAGATTGACTTGAGAGTGTTCAGATGTAACCATACTGCTGCAGTACAGCTCAGACTATTACATAGCCAAAGTGCAATATTATTATTACTGGTGAAAGCATCTGTTTCAGCCCTGTACTCACGGTTCTCATGTGGGTGCAGGGGAGAGTGATTGCGGTACCAGGTGACATTGGGCTGGGGGTAGCCATTCCTGACTTCACAGGACGCGATCTGCACAGAGGAGCGCAGCACAGGTGGGGTGAATGGTTTTTAATGCTTCTTTCCAGCACGGGTGTGAAACACCCAGAGACCCACACTGAGCCACTGACTGAATGCCAGCTCTAACCCCCTCCCTCCCCAACAAAAAACCTTCAGTGTTCCTGCACACGTGCTGGTCAGCAACACGTTCTTTCAAAGAAACATTTACTGGAGTCGAACACCGATGTAACATTTAAAAATACCAAAAGGGTTTCCCGTCAGATAGTCTGCATGAATCACAAGGCCATCCCTTCCCAGACTGGGACAGGACGGAGATTACAATGCCCCTTGACAGAACTAATCACATAGGCAAATCTCTGCATAGCTGTGGTGCAAGACCTTATTGGCCTGGTGTACAATTCACTTTAATACAACTCTGAATTTGCTGGGAATAACAAAATAAGCCAAATCATGGAAACCTGGGTCAAAACAGTCAATCCTGAATTAATGCTCTTCTTCTATGACACCTAGAAAAGATATGGCTTAAAGTGCGAGGAAGACAGTGCCTGAGGTGCACAGGAGAGATCTCTGACCTCTGACTGTTCGTCACTGGTGACGGAGAATCCAGAGTGGCTGCCCTCAATCACAGGGAACTCCGGAGTCACTGCAGAAAGAGCCCAGAGACAGCACTGAGCAAGGTCAGGGGACAGAGGAACGGTGACATCACCACAGGCAAGCCCTGATTACATCACCGCAGGTAAGCACTGATTGCATCACTCTTGGAGTGGAGCTGAGGGATGCAATGATTACAGCATGATACACAGAACTACAGATGGCATCGCTAAGGAGTAGATCTCTGTCGCGTGAAGCAGAGCAGCTTCAATAACTTGATTTGAGCAACCCAACAAGAATAAAAAAAAAGGACACAGACTCTCTGCTCTGTAATAATTTATTATTAGTTGTCAGTCGCCTCTGTTCAATTCAGAACATTAAAAAGCTGAAAACATGCTATTTGGTAAGCACTGATATTATAACTGATGAACTCAGTGCTTGATGTTTTCGTTGGGAAACAAGGTTACATTTTCAGGATGCGTCCTCTTCGTTTTGGGGTTTTTAATAGAACAAGCTGCCTCTTGAGGTCTAAGACCTCCTCTTACCGTAGACCTTCAGCTCGGTCCTGTTCTCCCCCTTGCCAGCTGACATGCCCCCGACCTGGCAGATGAAGTCGCGGGCGTCCCTGAGCTGCACGTCGGCGATGGTGAGGGTGTTGTCGTCGCCGATGCTGATGCGGCCCGTGTACCCTGTGCCGTTGTCCGCGACGCTGACATTCCTGTCCTTGAAATATATCCGCTCCCGGCTGCTGCTCCCCCGCTGCGGAACAACGTGGTGTTTAAGTCATGATCCCCTCCTCTGACAAATGTGAGCCACCTGCCTGCCCCTGTTGTGTTGGCGCATGAGCACTTCGAAGTGCCGGAAAAGTCCCCTTTCACCCTTTCGTGTACTCAACTTGCCACCAAAACAACAGAATTCAAATGTGACAGGCCGAAAACACATTAACACTTCATTTTGTAAGGGTTTCCACTTTTTAGGCCTCTTCTGGAGCCATTTAATGAATGAAAAACTTGACCAAAATAAGTATCTTGCCAAGGCAACATCTTACCATGTGAGAAGACTGTGACCAATCTGGTCATATCAAATGGGTATAAAATCAGTCCGACTGCATTTGTTGGCAGGGAGAGAAATGGAAAAGAACTGTAATCCCAAAAGAGGTGGAAGGAATCCCAGTGGCCCTTCTGGAATTCTTCCATGTGGAATTCTGGAATTAGTCATGGAAGCCTATGGAATCCTAGAGCATTACTCACCACAAACCACTGTACATGCACAGCACTGGGCGTCTTGCTGAAGGTGGCTCTGCAGGGAATGTGTGCCGTATCTCCCTGGAACACTTCCACCTGGTCCTTCATGGTCACCATCACCAGTGCTGACACTGTGGACACAGACAAGAAGAAAGTCAGTTTTTGGGGGTTGGGGCAGCACTTTTAAAAGGGGTCAACAGGAACGTCTGCTCATGCCATTTCACCACTCAGCTAGATGAGGCAACCTTGGCTCTCAAGGGATGTTCCTGTGGTTTTTCAAGGTACCTTTCAAATCATAACTGAGAAAGACCTGGGAAGCTCAGATAATGGACTTATTGTCCACTTAATTCAATTCAATTAAAGTCTGAAATGGAATGAAAACCAGAAACACACTCAGCACTCCAGGAGTGGAGTTATCTACACCTGAGCTTGATGTTGGCACACATGAAACAACCAAGCCCAGGGTTTTGTTCGCAAAGGCTTGGGAAAGTATTATAATATTTCAAAGCTCCAGAGACTGCGTTTTCAGCATCCACGTTCCTGTACCCATGTGGCCACCACAACTGGGCTTTGCCTCTTCATCAGAAAGCGCAGCTGTAGGGTTGGTGCTTGCAGAGTTTCCTCTCTAAAACATCCCTATGAATGTCTCGGTGTAACGAGCTGCACAAAGGAGGCCGAAGAAGATGTTATGTCAAGAATTCGGCAAACCCACCCTCTCGCACATTAGCAGAGGGCAAGGCCGTACATTCCAGTGTGTCACCCGCACATGGAAAGAAAGGCTTGATTTAGCGAGAGCATAATTATCTAGTGTTCACCCTCAGCATGTGGATGGGGCCTGTGTGTCCCTGGAGTGTTTCAGGAGTCTGCTGTAGTGGGACAAGAAGTCAGAATGAGGCTGCTGGGCCTGTGGTCTTATCTGACACTTGGCTATTGCTTTCCAGAATGTATTTTCAGCAGAGAAATGCATTCTCTCTGGTGCCGTTAAAAAAGAGGTTCTGCTCAGGTCTAGCATTTCCAAATAGCACATTTCTCTGCTAAACCGAGGCTGGGCCAGTTCAAAGAAACGGTTTCAGAGCAGTTTGTGTTTTTGTGCCCGAGGCAGAACACACACAACGGGAAGAACAGGGGCTCACTGAAGAACCTGAAGAGTGTATTGTCTGGCAGCATCTACCAGCCCACTTTCAAACAATTCAGCTTTAGATCAGAAGGTAAAATAAGAAGCATTTGTTAAGGCAAACATCAGAGGGCTGCAATGAGGTAATGACAGATCACGTAGAGGAAAAAGAAAGAGCCCTCATCTCCAACCAAGTTAATGTTTGTCATGTACGTAGGGAAAGCAAAGTGAAGTTCAATTAAATGATTTAGATTTAGATTTATTTTGTTTGCTGTTTATATAGGAAAAACCCCCAACATGTGAAACCCTTATCCCAGACAGAATAGTTGAAAGAAACAATTTCTTCACTGTCTGCTGATTCCAAGATGAGGAATGCAGCCACAGTGAGATTGCAGGCTCTGCAACACTTCCAGAAAGCCCCAGGTTTAAAAGCACCATTGCCATCTTGACCTGAGAAAAGGGTTAAAGGTCAAAGAGGTCAAAGGTCGGTTGGAGGAGAGGCTGAAACTGGAGGTACTGCTCTGTGAGAGTGAGTGTTTGCACTGGAAGAGCTCTGCGGTGAGCTGGGTGAGGCTGCTTTCATTACTGCATCTCACTTTTCATTAGCATTTATCTCACTGGTTCTTAATTGAGAATGAAAAGTTTCAAGCACTGCAGAAACTGGATAATTGCTAGAAATGAGATTTTCCAGCATTGATATTTCCTGTATATTAGTAATGTCATGGCTCTGCTGACTCATTCTCAACAGCACAGCAGTCCCTCTGCACCCAGGAACGAGGAGGAAGGTAAGAGTTAACCCTTAATACTCATGATAATTAAAACAAGGGGAAAAAACAGTTTTTCTCCCAACATGTGCAGCTTCTAGAGAAAAACACTTTCTGTATAGTTCTCCTAAGCTGAATACATGACTATTGGCACAGTGCTTCAAATCTCCTTGAGGTCACCAGCAGAAGGAGCTGAATTCTGTTGTGTTAAAGGTGCTGTATCATCTGAGACAACACGTAATCTGAAAGGTGTTAAGGATGCTTTAAGGCTTTGATGTAAGTAGCTTTATATGGACCAGGATTGGTCAAGAAACTGCATTTTCTGGCTGCAAAAGCATTTCAGCTTTAATTGTTCGAGAGTGGGCTTATTTCGCACAGCAAATTAAAAACACTTTTCACTTATTTTCAGCCTCATTTCGTGCTGCCCTGGCACTTTTCTCAGGGCACCTTTTCATTGCCAATCCTTCCTCATGAGGGTGGTGACTCTCCCCTTACTCTTTCTCTCTCTCTCTCTCTCTGCTTTTCTCCCTGCGCCCCCGACAAAGCCATTCAAACAGAATAAAAGTGGAATAAAGCCTTCTATTCACAGGACAGATACCCTCAGTGCCAAATACTCCAGCAGAGGGACTTTAAAAACACCCCCACCACACACACAACTTCCCTTCCTCGGAGCCCCCTCCTCGCTGCCCTCGCCGGTTAAAAAAAGTCTTTTTCCTCCCCTCTTCAGCATCTCTTGCCGCCCCGGCCGGGTGAAAGGCAAGCTCTGTCGCACGCTTTCTTTTCCTCCTCCTTTCGCTGCTTGTTATGAAAAAAAAAAAACCAGGCAGGGGCAGCCGAAAGGCTTTCCTGTTTTAATTGGAAACATCTGGAGCCCGTCTCGTGGGCCTGGCGGGGGCACCGGCGGCGATTGGCCAGGTTATTAATGGCTCCGCACGCGGTCGGTACGGCAACAGCTTGGATGGAAAGGGAGCTGGGGCCGGGAATAGGCAGATGGGTACGGAGAGGCTCCCCGCCTCGACTTCGCTTTTCAGAGGCGCAGAGTGCTAACTGTGCACTAGGGGCCGGCGACGGGCCGCGCGGCCCATTTTTTGAAGGCGAGCGTTTTCATTCCCTTTTGCGGCTGGCCGCGGGCACGCTCCCCATTTCTGACTGGAAGGGCAGAACCCAGGATTGTCAAGAGGGCGAGCCGGGCCTGTTGCCACTCTGAGCCTTGACGACGCCTCGAGTCCCGAACGAGCCTGGCAACGCAGCCGACGACGTCTCTCGAACACTCGGGGCCCTGGATTCGGCCCTTGTTTTCCAACCCCTAAGTTAACTGCGCTGGGGGAGGGGGGTCCCAGTTCCAACGTCGAAAAACAAAGTACCGAGATCCTTCTCCTCCTTGCCTCCAGAAATAATTCACTGTTTTCTTTTCTAACAAAAAATAGGTGTTGACTTGTCTGTGCTGTGGTAGGTAAAGACAACTCCAAGTCTTTCGATTGGCCCCCCGTCTACTAAAGGGCACACAATACCCCACACAGCCTCTCCACCCCCAACCCCCTTCTCTGTCACACCCTGCTGGAGCTATTCAACTACCCCCTGACGGTTTTCACCCCCGGGCTCCCCCCCTCTCCTCCCTATTGTACCCCAAGTCATACAAATTCAAATCCAAAGAGCTTCATTGGCGCGTCCGATGAGCTGCAGTATTGCCAAAGGTGATACAATCAACACAACGTGTACAGACATTTGCAGTACAAACATGTTTTTGGATACTTGCATACATCACACAAGAAACATTTCTGTGAGCCTGGCTCGCTCTCTGCCCCTCCCACTGCGACAGGAGATCACCTACTGGGCTGCAGCTCGATTGCGTTTCCTCCCCCAGTACGACTGGAAGCTGTTCTGATTCTGCCAGGTGTGGGATTAGATTTGTTATTTCAGGCAGGAATATCTAATTCTGGAGTATTTCTCAAAGTGTAGCAGAAAGTGGGTCTCTGTCTTGCTTCTCCCCGCTGGCAGTGGGAGCACAGGCTGTCTGCTAATTTTCTCCTGAGGTATATTTTTGGGGCTCCCCTCCACTTCCCAGATTGGAGACGACAGGCTATGCTTGGCCAAGCATGACCCCTCTCCCTCTGCAGGCCCTTGCTATTGTTCACACACCTGGGAGAGCTGAAGAGAGCCTCCCCACCTCTCCCTCACTGTATCCCAGGCCTTGTGCGTGTAGACACAGCTCTTCCCAGGAAACGTCCTGTCCCTAATTTCACCCACACATCGGCAGAGGGGAAAAGCACAGCTCTTCAACTCAGGAAATGCTTCACGGATAGTTTATCTGAAGTAAAGTTCAGCACAATTAATCTAAACGACCGCAGGACTACCAAGAAAATGCAGCAATAACAAAATCAAAAATCTCTCGAGGATAATAATTTGATTAGGTTGGTGTCACCAAACATCAGGAGGCTTGAGTCACCCTGCCCATTCTCTTGGTTCAGATTGAAAGGGACAGAATACTTGGAAACATGTAATCAGTGCACCCTGTTCCTTGTCTCGCATGACTGAGCATTTTACAGTGCCTGGCACCCACCAACAGAAACCACAACAAATCTCATACTTGTCAGGTGTGATTAACAGTTAAAGGAGTTTAAAGATGAAATGCAGACACACACATTCATCTCAGGGCCACATTGAACCTATCAGCAGGCTGACAAGCTTCATGACAGGAGCATGAAGGTAGCCATTCATTAATTCTATAACCTAAATGAGAAAGTTATCTGGTGAGGCGGATGTTTGATCAGTTCAAAGCTGTGTGAGAAAACAACTATTCGGTCCACACAGAATGAGAATGCTGTATCGAGGAGTGGTCAGTGCATTGCCTTACTGCGCACGAGGTGAAAATTTGCTGAACATTGAAAGCATAACTCTATGTACTCATTCAGGGCAAACTGGAAAAGCTGTTCGGTGCAAGACATTCACTAACAGGCACGGATCACTTGTTCACTTGGGCACTTTCTCCGAAACTACACGGAGGAACATTTCTTCTCCGATATGCTTCTGTAAAGGGATAGATATATATAAGGGAATAACATGTAAAGACAATGATCTGAAAAGGTAACTTCTAGAATCAAAAGATAGAGCTACCCAATTCTGAGAAATTATACACAATTATAAGATGTGGAGCTAGCAGTCAATAAACACAATAGCTGCCTTGCAATCAAAGTATCTTCCAACCACTTTCTAACCATATACTGTATATCCAGTAAAGGGTTGCTGGGGAGCT